TTTCGAGGGAGCCAAGCCAACAACGACAGAGTCGTACGGAGGTTGAGACGGAGGAAAATCGGTTCTTGCGGAATCCGACAACAAGTACATTGGGCTGCCAGAGGCGCTCATTAATAAACCTCGAGTGCTGCTGAACAAGACGAGTCCTCGCGTGTACACACCAGAGTCGTTCGTCATCTACAAGCTGCCTCACGGCCGAGAGCGAAGTAAAGAGCTGTTTGCGCTGAATGTCAGTAACGTTTCACGGCCGAGCGAATCGCGAACGACAGACTTCATCTTCTCGTACGTCGAGCTTCATACGCTTCATTTTGTCCAACAACGATTGCTCTGTGCATGAAGGACTGCTTGATAAGTATTCCATGCTTGTCACGTGACGACGGACTGACTGGACTCCTTTGACGTATTGGACACGAACCGCAATGCGATTTGTCGGTGCCGTAATGCATCTATTGCCCTGGCAGCATCTCTCGTCGGTTCGTCTCCCACATGCAATGTCCCACTGAGGTCGATCATGAGCGCTTTGAGCCTGGCGCACGAAGCGAGCAATAGGGGCACCATGCGCCAAAGTCGTCATCAGTTACGTGCTCTGGGCAATCTCATATCGCGTTGATGCCGGGTGTCGTAGACTGACCTGGTCATTGCGCGGCTCGCCAGCTTGCACAAGTGAATCTGACGTCGCTGACAGTCGAGCGAGTTCTGTATGCCAAATTTGAGCTCAAATAATCCACCCCTTTCTCTGTGCAGCGCCGGAAGTAATTCTATCATGTTGTTCGCTTTGCTCGGATCTGCAAAAGTGACATATGTTCATCGATTCTAATTACGTTTTGATTGCGTTGCACAGCTGCTTGGTCGGGGTTCACGAACTCCCAAAGTCACGGTCCAATACAAGTTCTGATTCGACGGGCGCAACCGCTGCCCCTTGACATATGTAGTTCGGACCGGCGCCACCTCGCATTCAATCGGCGAGACGCTCGAGGCACTGCACCTGCACAGGACCCGTTTGTTTCCCCACACATCCGACCTCAAAACCGAGATGGAAGCCGTTTAGAGATACAAGCCACCTGTATGCTCCATATGCCAAGTCGAACCGATGAAGATGCGCAAACAAACCCCACTGGCCTTTGCGACTCAACGATCCTTGCTTTGCCTCGTTGATGTCGTACTTGCTCCCGTCTCGACCTCAGCAATCATTCTGGATACAGTGTGAGTGCAGTTGTGGACGAATAGTGATCTCACACGCGCGCAATTTCCTTCTCCAACAGCGACTTGGGCAGTCCGCAGCGAGACGACCTACAGAGTCGAACAGAGACGCTTTCGCTATGCGAATAGAGCCGATCACTGCATCAGGACTCTGTAAGGTTTGGCCAGCTCGACGTTGGACAATTGCCAGCGCTTGTTCGAGGGCGTTCTCGGCTTTTTACCTCGACAAGACAGTGGACTTGAACGAGCAAGTCGCACATTACCTCGCGCAATTCCAGGTTAGCTTCTTGGTGAGCTCAATCAAGTGTTTGACAATTTTCAATGAAACCGAGCCAGCGACCAACGCGGACGAGCTATGGGTTAGGCCTGCAAATCAAAAAAGATTCGTCCTTGCGCGCGAGACTCACCGTCCTGTCTCTCTACATGCTTTTTCGGCTCGAATCTGTCAAGCACACTGTCACCACGTCCATCGCGTCGGCTCTTTCGTTGAGTCGGCGTGGGAACAAGGCGCGATCATTGCGAGTCTGGCTCCTTGAAGGCTTCTTGGTCCGGAAGGAGATGATCAATCCGATAGTGCCGGTATGTTTGCTAGTCGGAGTGCGGGCCAGCACGCGCTGTATCACTTGGTGGATCTGCGAGAGTTTATCGGCGAAGCTGCGAAATCTCAAACCTTTTGTCCCGGTGACCGCGCGATCAAGAGAGACGTCACAAAGAGGCCGCCAGAGAGCTGAATCACGCCAGCTGCAGCCTTGTGCCGACCGCTCGGGGCACGAGAAGGACAAGTGTAGGAGTATTTCGTCAAGCGACCCTTCAGGAGGCCCCGCCAAGACTCTCGCAGCAAGCGACAATATCATGCTGGAATCCTTCTCGTATTCCATAAGAACCTCTTTCTACATTGAACGACACGTTGAATTGTTTTGTGAAAGTTCTATAATCTTCCCGGTCGTTTGCCATGTCTTGTGAGGCGATTAGATGGCACCTGCGAGTGCTGAATGTTAGCAGATTGCACGCATGCACTCGTCACGCGTGCACTTACTCAAGTTCTAGCGTTGGCGGAAGCAGCGAGAGATCGGTCAGCATCTGCGGTCCTGCAACGACAGTCATCGAACCGGGATCCAATGCACTCACGCCAAACTCTGCAGAAGAGAAAAGTTCAGAGATCGCTGATTCTAGCTTTGGTCTGGACATTACTCACTTTCGGTGTAGCCGGGCACGGTCCACTTGCCCTTCTTGACCATGTTCTCAACAGTCTTGGTGATCTCGGGGCGAGCTTTGGTGACGTCGTCGATCTGCACAAATATTTCGACAATGTGAGTCATCGAGATGTGCTGGCGTGCGGTTTTGTGGCTCACTGTGAGCTGCTCGAACGGACGAGCGTCTTGAATGTTCTTCAAGGTCGAGTTGAGGTTGGACAGCTCGGAATCAATCTTGGTTGCGGTCTCCTTGGCGGAAGCAACCTGTCATGATTGGTACGTATTCAGCCGAGTTGTTTCGCAATCAGTAGTGCGTCTTTCGAGCGACTGACGGCCTTCTGCTCGAACGCGTCAATGGCCTTGAGCTGGGCCTTGACGTCGTAGTCCTGGGCCTTGAACTGCTTGAACAGCTTCTCGCCTTCTGCGACAACGTCCTTGTTCTTGAGGATGGCGCGGTATCGCTCAAAGTCGACCGTTCGCGGCGCGTTCGAGTAAGTTGCGTGCGCCGAGCGGGCATCAGCAGCGCGCTTGCGGAACGCGCTCAAGGCCGCGAGCGTCTCTGTTCGAGTCAAAGAAACGATTGCGTGTCAGCATGGCACGCCGGCGGGCGCATGTGACGCGAAATGGGACGTGCCCCGGTGCAAACCGAGTTTCGTCGAGATGCGCGTCCAGTCAACGGCGACGCTGCAGCACAAGGTGTCAGCTCAGTCAATCTCGGCTTTCATCGTCACTGACGCTGCGGCAGACATGGCGACGGTGACGTGGGGAGCCGCGACACGCGATCGGCTCGAGTCGGCCACGCACGCACAAATCCCCGCTCGGGTACCGCATCCCGATCGGGCTCTGCTCAGAGAGGCTCGAGCGCCGGTGGGCATTTGCGTTGGCGGACAATCTCACGGCGGCAAACATGTGAATCGCAGGGCATGAGCGCGCGTGGCAGCTTTGACTGACGCTCCACTGCTTTCTCGCGTAGGACATCCGCTGCAGCGTCACCGCGCGGCGACGTGACGCAACACTCGTCGACGGCGACACCTGTGAGTGCCTGAGTCGCGCCATACTTGCACTCTGATTGATGTCTGTCCATCGCACAGTCTGCAGTCACCGCCGAAGAAATGTCGTATGCAGAGACATGGAGGCCGTTCAAGAATCACCAGTTCTTTGCGCAGCGAGCAGCATCGTCCAAGCGCAACAAGAATCTCAAACAACTGCTCATCATAGAGCGCGAGCGTGTCGAGCAAAAGCTGCAGCACCAAAAGCTCGAACGCGAGCGCGAGCCCGACAAGATCCAACCCGAGGTCGTATCCTGTGAGTGGCGACCGGGTACCGTCACTTGATGCATGGCTTGCTGACTTTTTACTTGCAGTCATGACTGTTGACGCTGCACCGTCTGTCATTCCGCCCAAAAAGTACTGCGACATTACAGGGCTCGAGGTCAGTGGGCTCGAGGTGGCGTTTCTCGTCTTGAACTGACAAATGGTGGCAGGGCAAGTACGTCGATCCAAATTCGACGCTGAGGTACCACAATGCCGAAGTTTATGAAGTCATCAAGACGTTTCAGCCAGGTGTGTCGCAGGCGTACCTGTCGCTGCGAGGTCAGGGAGTCGTGCTGCGGTGAGATGTATTGGATTGTGCAAATCCTTGTTGTTGTATTGGCCATCAGCGAACGGATGCATTTTTTGCCTCAGGCGATCAAGACTGCTACAAACCGTTGTCTTGACTTTCAGGTTGGGTCTGCGCGCGATAGGGCCGCTACAGTGAGCGCTGCTCATCACCTGCGGAAATCGACGTAGGAAGCAAAGAGCGCCTGACCAGATCTTTATCTTTGCGGAAAACTCGGCTCGCAAGCATGACGGACGATTGTGCGTATTATTCAGCCATAAGCTTGTGCACCACAAGGGTCCCAGGTGTACGGATCCCGGGATGGATGACTGGAAAGTGCCTGATGATCATGCGTCCGGGGCAAATGAGCCCTACTTTGCTTGACGATCTCGAAGCGTGACCTCCCGTGCAAACGAAGATCAGGGAACACCAGCCAGGAAGCTTTGTCTACCCTTGCCTCAAGCCAAAGAGATTGGTCCAAATTTATTTTCGGACTTGTGCAAGTCTGGACCTTTCAACGCTGAAACAACTGCGGCTTTCCGTCCAAACCCTCTTATTCCAGTCATTGGCTTTGCCTTTGAAGATTTCACTATTATTTTGGTGTCCTTTGGTTTGAGGCGATTGCGACAGAGCTCTTTCACAGACCGCGCTGTACAATCTGCTTCCACCGCGCATTCTGCTCAAACTTTACCTTCATCAAAGCTTCAAAGTCTTTGCAAGCGCCGTCAATTGATCCCACCTCGACGTTGCACGCATTCCCGGATGAACCAGGTGTAGCAACTCGAGTTTCTCTTTACCAGAACGATGCCCCGTGTCAAGATGGGATATAAAGTCTGAATCTGGAGCGAGGCAAAAAGAAAAATACCTCCACGCTGCCTAATCTTGGGCACCCAGTCCCGTGGCGTCGCGACCACGATATTCAGGAGTAGCTGCATGCCACCACCTAAAATGCCCAAGTGTGTTGCTTGAATTCGTGGGAACCGCACTGAAATCCGGCACCAAAAAAAGCGAACGCTACAGGGATCGAACCTGTGATCTCTTGATGTCGGAAGTAAAGCCGAAGTCAAGCGCCTTACCTCTTGGCCAAGCGTCCTCATGGAAGGGACACTGTTTTTTTTGCAATATAAACTTTTTTTTTTTGGTCTTCGGGCCGCGTCTTTGTGCTTTGGCACGCGCGGATAAACATGAGGTTTTAGACCGATTTTCCGCCAATTGCTAGTTGCAAACTACTATGACGCCACCATCTTACGCGAACGCTGTACAACAGCCACAGCACCCAATTTCCACCCAAAATACATGTACAGCAAATCCCTTTCACTTCCCCGCGCAAGCGGGCCTTCCGAGTGACGGCGCCTTCCGGCACCATCGTCATCCGTGTAGCTTTTTCCAAGCAGTACCCTGACTGACTACAAAGTGTTTTCTTCCTCGAACGTGGACAAAGCATGTTTCAGGCTCGGTGCTCGGCTTCGCATCGAGGAGGACGGGTTCCTTCTGAACACGATCACGGTTTCCTTGACACCGTTACATCATCCTGTTGGACCACTTACACTTATAGAAGTATACCTCACTGACCTCGTGCCTGAGACCCAAGTCATGGCCGAGCTTAGGCGCATATTGAGTCATTGCGGCGTTGTCCTCAAGCTCGTAACCGGCGGATGCAATCAATTGACCATGATCGACGGCACCATTCATTTTGCCCTTATTCTCACCCCGTCCCGCCCCCTTCCACCTCGCCGCATGGAAATCAAGTGTGATGGGCAGGAGTTCGACGCCACCGTCTTCGTGACGGCTCGTCGAGGCACGCATTTCTGTGTCTTCTGCCATTCTACTGATCACGCTCGTGCTCAATACAAACTACGGAAATACAATATTCTCGAAAGTAATGACTCCGCAAGTCGCAATGGTGGAGGACACTTAGTTCGTCGAGGGAAAAAGAAACTTTCCGTGAACTCCACTTGTTACCAACTTGCGGACGTTTTCTCTACATGAAAAGTAGCTGTAACCGACCTTGCAAAGTCACTGTGCTGCATTTCGACTTACTTGCTATCGTGCTACGTTGATTGTACGCGACAGTAAGCGCGCGTATCACTCGCCGTTGGTGGCCCGTTCGTCATTATGTTCGCGACCCCTGAATTCCGTCATAAGACGTCCTGGCAGGAAGCTTGCGCACCGACGCGAATGCAAGATATGAGATGAAGGCGACATTCTTGTGGTCAGCTCCAAACGAGGGGGGCTTGATGTTCGTGGTCTGTGCGCGCGCTTGTGACCGTCACGAGTGACCAGTCCCCTCCGAGACGAAATCGCTCGCGTTCGCCGCAGAGGCCGCTCTCTGACAACGTCGCTTAAGACTTGCCTCAGCCCTGCTTCTGTGAATTTGACAGCATGCAACGGCATTTCTGGCTCTGATTGTGTGCCGTCGTCGCCTTCGCCCCGAGCCTGCGCTTGCACTCCTGAATGCGCACAGCCTCTCGTGGCCACGGAGCGCGAGTATGCTTGCCTCTTAAAGTCTCCTGTCAGCGCTCGCCGAAGGCACAACGAAGTCGACAGAGAAACTCGAATGCATGACTTTGATGGCCAAAGTGGGGCTATAGCGCGTGTAACATTTTCAAATGCTGCCGAGTATCTGACCGAGCGAGAATATGCTTGCTTACGTGCAGACCGAGCCATTTTGTCCAAACTCTGCACTCGGCGAAATAATGAGCTCGGACAAACTCCTGACCCAATGCCCCACCCGCTGCTTGAGCTGCTCGAGCTTTTGCTCACCACAATACCTCCGCGTGCGCTCACTCTATTGAAAGACCCTGCTCGGTTAGCCAGACCTCATCACAGTTTCAGGTGAGCGGCAGGCCAGAGTTTTCGAAAGCCAGTTGCAAGGCACGTCGACGATTCAGACGTTGTCAATGCTGTAGCACTGGCGAGAAGCTTTAAGTAGAGTATTTGAGAGCTCACACACTCCGCTACGGTCAGCGCAAGCGTACGAGACCGTGCAGAGCGGCACGATATCGGTGGCACCGCGCAAGCGACCGCGAGAACCGAGCCAGTCGGGTCAAGATACAGGCAAGTGTTGTAGTAGCGAGCCACCTTAGTTGTCCAAACTGATGAGAAGCCTGTTTTTGCGCACACTACACAGACGCATACGACTCTGACGACGCGCTCGAGGATGCGGCTGGCTTGTCGAGCTCTGATTCAGATTTCACTTACGAAGGTGCGCGGGTTAGCACAAACCAAGAACGCTTGCTCAGACTGACATTGGCAAAGCAGACTACGACCCTGAAACTGGCCGAAGAAAGTTCAACCGAGTTGACGGTTAGTCTCACTCACCGCCGAGAACGCTGCTACGACGAGATCGCTCAGTCTGATGCCTGTCTGCAGAGTCTGATGATGATTCGGAAACGTCCAACGGCCAAATCGACTTTGACAGGGGCAACCTTCAAGCGAACAAACTTGATGCTGAAGACCTCGACGCATGCATTCTCGACACGGTCGCCCATCACGCTGTCGATCTCGAGTCGGACGAAGAATGGTTCGCCACGGTCGTTCGCCGACGAAATCGGGCCAAGTCTCGCGCCAAAGCCTTGGCCGCGCGCGTCACCGCAAGGCCTTTGAGCCAAAGTCAAAGCCATTCGCCGAAGAGTACGACAAGAACGCTCCCTTTGAATCTGATGTGACATCTGACACTTTGCGACGGCGACTGCAGAACCATTTCAGTACAGCAACACTAGTGACGCAGAGCGCAAACGCTTCGGTCGCAGTACCGAGATCGCGGCACAGAAGCGTGCCGAGCAACGTCAGCATTATTGGCGTACTGAAATGTTTCTGCAGTCGCCGTCGCAAAGCGTTAGTTGTCGCATCACATTGATAGGGAGCGTTCATGTCATACTCTTGGGCGTATGGCTGTGGCTTTGGCTTAATGGCCTTGCAGAGGCCAGGGATCTGGCGCGAGACTTGGCCCAATCTTGTTGGCGAACGACCGTGGCGAACCACTCTTCGTCCGACTCGAGACCGACAGCGTGACGGGCGACCGTGTCGAGAATGCATGCGTCGAGGTCTTCAGCATCAAGTCTGTTCGCTTGGAGGTTGCCCCTGTCAAAGTCGACTTGGCCGTTGGATGTTTTCGCATCATCGTCAGACTCTGCAGATAGACACCAGACTGAGCGATCTTTTCGCAGCAGCGTTCGCCGCGGTGAATTGTTCCACCTTTCTCAGCCTCACCAGCACCAGAACCGGTGCGGGGATCTGCATCGCTTGCATCCCGGCCTCGATTGCAAGGCTCGCGTAAGCAGTCGGCGAGCCTCACGGTACCAGGTCCTTGGAGGAACTGAAGTAACGAGAGCTAACATTAGGACGTCTGTCAGGGACGCAGGTGCGACGGCGACCGCAGAAAAGTTCTAATATGCCGACACAATCGACACAGAGCGCAAACGCTCAAGCGGTAGGACCGAGATCGCGGCACAGAAGCGTGCCGAGCAACGTCAAGCAGTCATCGCTACGCACACAGCAACTCTGAAAGATCTTGTACAAGAGTGGCAAGCCGTCATGGGAAGGCAGACAGAGCTCGCAAGCTCGGAAGAGTTGGCCTCGCTGACGGACGCCAAGGCGCGCTTAAGATGACTTCTGCGGGCTCTCGCTCCCCAATACGAGCTCGAGAGTCGAGAGCAGCTCCAAATTCATCACCCGTTGGCGGCTTACCTGATCTCTCACGCACAACTTCTCGAAGCGCTCTGCCAACTCACCGCGAAACCGTTATCTGCCGACTTGACAAGCTTGCCGGGAATCACCAAGACCGAAGCCCCGTACTCGCTCTCCTGGGACCGAGAAATCGACAGGTCCGGCCGGATACACGTCTATTTACGTGTGTTGAAGGCGAGCGTCGCACAACACCTTCAGTGGTCGAGAGATTACACGGACGCGTACCCGGCAGGTTTCATGCGCGAGGCGCCATTGCTCGCCGCGACTGCGGACTTAGGGCCTGAGGAGGCGTGTCAGCGCGTGTACGCCGGACTCAGCTCCAAGAAGGGAGGTGAGGGTCGCGCAAGCGATGACGAAGGCAAAAGCCAGGCGCACCTCGTCAATTTCGTCAAGTTAAATTCCTTGACCGTTGCAAGCTTTGAATCTTACGAGCTGGACTTACCCGGCAACGAGTGGACATTGGCCAATGATACGGTGTACGAGCTTCGGGCGCATCCGATGGCGTCGTCCCTAGAAGAGCTAGTGATTGCGGCACTGGGCGCCTCGCGGCTAAACTCGCACCCTGGCGGTCTGGTTTCTAATTACCAGCCCGAGCAGACGCTCATCGACGTGCTCGACGCCGTGAACAAAGCCCTTGCTGCGGTCGTAGCCTCTCCTGATGAATATGCGCCGTCCCGCACGCGCCCAACGCGCCTTTCGCCGACTACTACACTTGACGACGTTCGCACATCCGAGCTTCAGCGCATTGAACATCATGTTGACGACTGCGTGCGCGTGTGGAACTCGCCAACGATCAAGAGCGGCCCGTCATTGTCTCAAACGGCCATTCAGGACGTGAAGAAGGGCGCAAGCGGACTCGAGTATTCTGATGATGAATACGCTCTGAGTGTCAGGTGCCTCCAAGACGTTACCCGGGCAGAATTCATGGTTGAAAGTACTGGCTCTACGTTTTTTGGTCGTCTTGCAGGCCACGGGTTACGGCTCTTTGTCGACGCATTAAAAGTCGTACGCCGTCACAATGATGCGCCAGCTGTCCCCGGCAATGTGGAGTCTCTTGGCGAGACGTTCATGAACTTTTGGATCATCCTTCGCCACAAAAAGGGTGATTCTAGCCATCATTCTCCGGTTGAGATCCATCTCTTGCGTCGTGATCGCCCCCGTATTGATCGTCACCTCTGCCAAATTTGCCGCGAGGTATCCGAATCGAGCGCCGGCGTTGGCGGAGAATGTCCGGAGGGATACCTCGCAAGTGCGGTGCACGACCTGCTACAGCAACACGGCGACATTGTCATGCAAGTGCCGGCGGCCATTCGACCGACGAGTGTGGATCAGCTTGAGCTTGGACAGCTCTACGTCGGCACCGACGAGGCAGACGATTCGCGATGGATCAAGCATCAGGCGTTC